TGACCTTGGAAATGTTCCCCAACTAAACCATCCCATTATTAGCCATGGACTGCGTGTGGACAGTTGAGCACCTGAAATATGGCTCCTGAACTGAGGAGCAGACTTGCTTATTCTTCTTACTTTGGCTCTAGTTCAAAAGTCTCTCGCCAGTGGCTACCATAGCATACTGAAAGCCTGTGGAGCAGCCCAAGCGGTTGCATTCCGGCTTCTGCACACTTCTTGCTCTGAACGCTGCTGCAGCTGCATCCCCCACTCCCTCTGGTCTCAGAAGGCAGCAAGCTTCTTCTGACCTAAGGACTCTGCTTCTGTAGGAAGAAATTGTCATCTAGAATGACAAGAGGCTGAAGTCTGATCCCCTTGAGATAAATTCCCAGATCCGTAGATGCTACGAAGACCATCCTGAATGCTCTACAGTGCTTGAGATTGCTGGGACAACACAGAGCAATGACCTGACCCTGGGACCTTGAGGGCCTGTCACAGATTGCACCACGTCCCTCCCAAATTCCCATGTTGAATGTGACTGTAGATGGAAATAGTGTTTCAGGCCTGGCGCAGTGGCCTAGTGGCTAGAGTCCTCACCTTGCACCGGGATCCCAGATAGGCGCTGATTCTGATCCCATCCAGCTCCCTGCTTGTGGCCTGGGAAAGGAGTCAAAGGATGGCCCAAAGCCTTGGGATCCTGCACCCACATGGGAGACCAGGAGGAGACTCCTGGCTCCTGGCTTAGGATCGGCTCAGCTCCAGCCATTGCAGTCATTGGGGAGCAAACCAGCAGATGGTAGGTCTTTCTGTGTCTTCTCCTCTCCGTATATCTGACTTTCCAATGAAAATAAATCTTAGAAAAAAAATTAAGTATTTGGGGAGATCATTAGCATTGCATGAGATGGGTCATAGTGAGGCTCTAATGCAATAGGACTGGTGTCCCAAGAGAAAAAGGCAGGGGGAGTGGGAGGAGAGGATGGTCAGCGAGATGCACACACAGGGAACAGGCAGCTCATCTCCAAGCCAAGAGCAAAGCTGCAAGAGAAACCAGGGACACCAACACCTGATGTTGAGCTTCAGCCTCTGGAACTACGAGAGCACGAATGTGTTGTGGAAGTCCCCCTGTGGCTAGATCTTTATGATCACAGCCCTCATAGACTCATGTGGTAACCTCTGAAACAGGTGGCCCAGAACTCCCCACCCAGATTCTCCCTGCGAGACACTGGCTCCCAGGAACTGAAGGTGACACCCTCCCACCCCACATGGGGAAGGCACCCCTGCAGATGCAGCCATGCCCAGGCCTTCAGGTCCAGCGCTGCCACAAGCCTCTGTGCCTCCACAACTCTTGCCGAGCTCTTGGCTCTCACCCAGACTCTGCCCGGGCCCCCAGGACGCCCACCAGGCCCACTCATCCCTCCATCCCTTCGCCATTCTACTTGCACTGCCACCTGCCCACCATGAGTCCCCACCATCGTGGGCTGTCTCAGTGCGCAGCTCACTTCCCCCACCGGACTTCAAATGCCTCTAGATTACTCTAGATCCTTCCCCCACTTACCTCTCTGTTTTTTGTCTTCCATTTGGGACAAACACTAATCTGCTGGCCAGCCCTTGAGCAAAATGCTGCTGTTATCCAAGCTCTCCAATATGTTCCCATCTCCCACTTACAACACCACCACCTCCCGGGAGCTTCCCTGACAGACTCAGCTAAATATGTACAGGAATGACGACTTAATCTTTGTGCATCGCTCCATAGCGCCTCTGTCAGGGCTGTGGCGCACTGCGGGAGATCACCCCTGCGTCTCTGCCTGCTAGCCCATGTGGCAGGCTGTAGACGCACGATACACCGTGTCCCAGGCGGAACCCCTGACGGGATTCTCAGCTAACCAAAACCCCAACGTAGCTTGTTCATTGGCCATGCAGCAAGAGCAATGGGCTGTACCCGTCCCTTCTCTGCCTCTTTACCAAACTGTGGGAAGTCAACTGTTACACTGACCCTGCTTTTCAGAAGGTAAAGAGTTTGCCCTGATACACAACTTCCTCTGCTTCATGACCTTTAACTTCATTGGAGGGTCCAGAGTGATAGACAAACATACCAGCCTGTCACAGTGTCGTTGTTGGGTGGAAGTACTGCCGGGCATTTGGTCTAGTCGTAAGGACATGCCCTTCCCAGCCCTGGCTCCCGACCTCAGCTCCCTCCCAGTGCTACGCTGGGGAGGAGGGGGCAGCAGCCACGGCTCAAGCACCTGGGTTCCTGCCATCCACATGGCAGATCTGAATTGCAGTCCCATCTCCCAGCTTCCAATCTTGTCTGATGCCTGCAGCCATTTGGGGGAGTCAATTAGAAGGTGGGAACTCCATGTGTGTAGCCCTATCTTCTCAAATAATTCTTAAAACAAAACAAACAAAAATAAATAAATAAAAAACGGAGGAGGAAGGATCAGCACAATGGCTCAACTGCCTAATCCTCCACCTACAAGTGTCGGTATCTCATATGGGCACCAGCTCCCTGCTTGTGGCCTAGGAAAGCAACAGAGGCTGGCTTAGGTCCTTGGGACCTTGCACCCACATGAGAGAGCCAGAAGAAGCTCCTGGCTCCCTGCATCAGCTCAGCTCATCTCTGGCCATTCTGGCTATTTGGGGAGTATAAGTGAACTAGTGAAGGGAAGATCTTTCTGTAGCTCCTTCCCTCTGTAGATCTGCTTTTCCAACAAAAATCAATAAATCTTAAAAAAAAAAAAATCTTGTGGAGGCTAGTGCTGTAGTATAGCAGGCTAAGCCACTACTGCAGCACGAGCATCCCACACGGGTGCTGGTTACGTCCTGTTTCACTTTTCTTTTTTTTTAAGATTTACTTTTATCGGAAAGGCAGATGCACGGAGAGGAGGAGAGACAGAGGAAGATCTTCCATCCGATGGTTCACTCCCCAAGCGGCCACAATGGCCAGAGCTGAGCCAATCAGAAGCAAGGAGCTTCTTCTGGGTCTCCCACATGGGTGCAGGGTCCCAAGACTTTGGGTCATCCTCAACTGCTTTCCCAGGCCACAGGCAGGGAGCTGGATGGGAGAGGGGCTGCCAGGACTTTAATAGGCGCTCATATGGGATCGGGATCCCAGCACGTTCAAGGTGAGAACTTTAGCTACTACACTATTGTGCCAGGCCTGCTGTTCCACTTCTGATCCAGCTCCCTGATAATGTGCCTGGGAAAGTATAGGAAGGTGGACCAAGTACTTGGGCCCCTGCACCTATGGTAGATGAAGCTTCTGGTCATGACGGCCATTTGAGGGGGATGAATCAGCAGGTGTAAGGTCTATCTCTGCCTCTATATAACTATGCTTTTCAAATAATAAAATATCCTTAAATAACTTAAGCAAGCAAAGGCAAGGATATAATTTTAGTAAATACCATTGAAACAGATTATAGCTGAGCACTGAGGTGCAACAACTTAAGCTGCACACAATCATCAATGCAAGCCCCACTGCAAAGCCAGCTTCCCCTGGAAGCACCCTGGGACACAGCGGGTGCTGGCCCTAAGGCCTGAGCCCGTCATCTACACACAAGATGCCCAGCCCAGGCTATTGTGGGCATTTCAGGAGCAAACAAACCAGTGGTTGGTAGCTCTCGTCTGTTGGTTTTGACTTTTAAGGAGATTAATTTTTAAAAAAAATCGAAGACAGGGCCTGGTGTAGTAGCCCAGTGGTTAAAGTCCTTGCGTTGCATCCGCCAGAATCCCATTTAGGCACCAGGTCTAATCCCAGCAGCCCCACTTACTGTCCAGCTGCCTGCATGTGGCCTGGGAAAGCAGTGGAGGACGGCCCAAAGCCTTGGGGCCTTGCACCCGTGTGGGAGACCTGGAAGAAGCTCTGGTCTCCTGGCTTCAGACTGTCTCAGCTCTGGCCATTGCAGCTGCTTGGGGAGTCAGAAGATGGAGGATCTTCCTATCTCTCTCCCCTCCTCTCTGTATATTTGACTTTCCAATAAAAATAAATAGGTATTTTAAAACATGGGCCCAGTACCGTAGTAGCCTAGCAGCTAAAGGCCTCGCCTTGAACATGCCCAGATGCCATATGGGCGACAGTTCTACTCCCGGCATCCCCACTTCCCATCCAGCTCCCTGCCTGTGACTTGGGAAGCAGTCAAGGACAGCCCCAAGTTTTGGGACCCTGCAACCACATGGGAGACCAGGAAGAGATTCCTGGCTCCTGGCTTCGGATCAGCGCAACATTGGCCTTTGCGGTCACTCGGGAAGTCATCGGATGGAAGACTTCCTGTCTCTCCTTCTCTCTGAATATATCTGATTTTGCAATAAAAATAAATAAATCTTAAAAAAAAAGGGGGGGTTGAGAAAGAGGAGACAAATTGGGAGTGATGATGTGACACAGTGATTAAAGTGAGACCCTAGTATCCCATACTGCCGCCAGTTCAAGGCCCAGCTGCTCCACTTCTGATCCAACTCCCTGTTAATGCCCCCGGGAAAGCAGTGGAGGGCGGCCATGTGCTTATGTTTCTGACTCTCATGTGGCTGACCTAGAAGCTTCTGGTTCTTGGCTTTGGCCTGGCCCAGCTCTAGCTGTGGCAGCCATTTGGAGACTGAACCAGCACTTGGAAAACCCTTCTCTATAACTTTCTCTATAACTTACTTATAAGTAAGTAAAAAAAATTTTTTTAATTTATTTTTATTGGAAAGTAAAATGTACAGAGAGAAGAGACAGGGAGAAAGATCTTCCATCCACTGGTTCACGGTTCACTCCCCAAATGGCTGCAATGGCTGGAGCTGAGATCTAAAACCAGGAGCTAGGAGCTTCTTCTGAATCTCCCATGTGATGCAGGTTCCCAAGGCTTTGGACTGTCCTCAACTGCTCTCCCAGGCCACAAGCAGGGAGCTGGATAGGAAGTGGAGCAGCCAGGACAGGAACCAGCACCCATATGAGACCAGATCCTGGCGTATGCAAAGTGAGGACTATGGCCATTAGGCTACAGCACCAGGCCCAGTCAATCTTAAAAAAATAGATTCATGCTTCATAGAAGAGATCAATAAGTTTAACAGTATTAAAAACAAAACAAAAACAAACAAACAAAAGAAAATGAGACAGCCGGCTCTTACCTCCCTATCACCTGTTCCTATAACAGTCCAGGCCCCTAACAGAGACGGTGCAATCAGACTTACTGCATCCTCCCACAGTTCCACAGGAGAACCCACTGCAAATAGCAAAGGGGTGAGAAGGAGGGAACTCCACAGGGGAGTGGAGTTAGGGGAGAGAAGTAGCAAAGACTAGAATGTTTAGGATCCTGCTTTTAATGCTTTGCCTGAAAGAAAAAAAATCACAAGTTGTGATTTTCATCAATCCACCTCTGGCCAAGCTAGAACCTGCCCTCTCCAGGGCGAGGTCTTGCAAGTGCAGCAGCCAGGCGCTTCTCTTGTAGTGTACGGTAGTGATGACCCCACCACCAATCCCCCCAAGGGGGCAAGGCAGCCAAGAGCAGAGTGTGTAAGCAGCACGCCGTGTGCCGGTCTAGGCCAGGCACCATTAACCCAGGTGGCACCCACACCTCAGAGTGTCACCCATTTGTCTGTGATCAAGTTCACAAGTCCCAGAGTTGGGAGGAAACTTGAAGCCTTGGACTTGACCCTCTGGCCCAACCCCAGCCTCCCGCTGAAGGCTGGTTCTCAGCTCGCTCAGCTGTCCTGCCCCAGTGAGGAGGGCCCACGGGGCGGTGTTCTGGGAGGATAAGAAGGAGCCCAGCCAGATACTCCCTCTGAACAGCAAATGTGGCCTGCGATGTCATCGTCCAGGGCTGTCTCTGATGAGCAGCAGGTGCCACAGGAATGACGAGGTAGGGCAGCCTGAGGTGCCACCAAGAGTCCCAGCCGCGAGACAGAGGCCCCAAGGCAGGCCCCAGGAGCACGGCTGGAGTAGTGTAGGAATTTCCATGGCTCATGGGTGCCAGTCCAGGAGGCGAGAAGCACATATGTGGCGACAAGGCTGTGCTGTCTGGTCCGGGACCACAGCCTTCTGCAGGTGCAAAGACTCACCAGTGGGCCTCCAAAACTGCCCACACTGGGCACAGGGGCACTTAGCTTGTCAGCAGTGGCAGCACCCCCAACTCCGTCAGTCTCTCTTTGGCCACTGCCTCCCAGCCCTTGTTGGCCTGTGGGCTGCGGGGAGAGGGGTGCAGGAGCCCTTCCACCTGCACCTCTGGCATGAGGCCCGACAGAGCCCGCCGTGCCCGCTGCTCCGCCAGCCGTCCCACTCCCACCACCAGCCGCACCCCCAGCAGCTGCACCTGCCGGCATAGGGCGCCCTCGCAGATGCCAAGGAGCTGTTCTCGCTGTTTGGCAGGCAGGTCGGAAGGCGTGAGGTTGCGCCCACTGGGGGCCAGGAAGAGCAGAGGACAGAGATTGTGAACGAAGCAGTGACGGAAGAAGACCTCGGGCTGTCCACAGAGGTTCCGGAAGAAGCCCCAGAATCGGGCACCGCTCACTTCAGACTGTGGGCAGTCCAGTCCCAGCACTGGTCGCTTAGGGTGCTCTTGGGGTGGGGTCAGTACAGGCCCCCCAACGCCCAGCCAGTCCCGGACCACGCTCACTTCCCCGAAGGGTACCTGTGGAGGGAGAGACAGGTGAGAGGCTTCAAATTGGAGCCAAGAAGGGTGGTCGCACCCAACTGGTAACTTCTGTCTTCCAAGAGCTCCTGGACACCCACACCTTCACCAAGGGCCCCAGAGATTTCTGGCTCCTGTTTCTGGCCAGCTGTCTCCCCTCACTTATTTTTTTTAAAGATTTATTTACCGGCTCGGTGCAGTGGCCTATTGGCTAAAGTCTCACCTTGCATGTACCAAGATCCAAAAAGGGTGCTGGTTTCTGTCCCAGATGCTCCACTTCCTATCCAGTTCCCTGCTTGTGGCCTGAAAAAGCAGTCAAGGGCAGCCCAAAACCTTGGGACCCTGCACCCACGTGAGAGACCCTGGTTTCAGATCGGCTCAGCTCTGGCCATAGTGGCCACTTGGGAAGTGAATCGACAGATGGAGGATCTTTCTCTCCTTCTCTCCGTAAATCTGACTTTCCAATAAAAATTACATTTTTTAAAAAGAAACAGAGTAAACTTTATTTTTATTGGACAGATACATTTAGAGAGAAGAGACAGAAAGATCTTCTGTGTGTTGGTTCACTCCCTAAACAGCTGCAACCAGAGCTGCACCAATCTAAAGCCAGAAGCCAGTAGCTTCCTCCAGGTCTCCCATATGCGTGCAGGGTCCCAAGGCCTTGAGCCATCTTCTGCTGTTTTCCCAGACCGTAAGCCGAGAGCTCAATGGAAAGTAGAGTAGCTGGTACACGAACCTGTACTCATGGGATGCTACGCTTGGAGGTGGAGGATTAGCCAGTTGAGCCATGACACCAGGCCCTGTCTCCCCTTTTCCTTTGTGGACTCTGGCCTAGAAGCAGCTACTTGCTTGCGTCCACCCCAGCTGGCCTCTTGGCTCAGCTCCAGGGAGCTGGGGATCAACAGCTGGCCCCAGAGTGAAAAGCAGGCCGGATTAAAGGAGGCACAAGGACTGGGCTGACCACTGCTCTCCCCGTGCCCTCCCAGCCCCGAGCTCCAGGCTGTCATCTCCATCGATCAGCATTGATCACCTTTCATCACCCAGTTGGGGTCAATAAAAGCGATTGAGCCTCCTGTCCTGAAGCCTCTGCCCTGCCCCCACCTGCCAGGCACGCCCTGAGGGAGAGTCATTCACCCTGATCTGGGCAGGGAACACAGGCCACAGAGCCCCCTGTGCCTGCAACACAGGAGCCAGGCAGCCAGAATACACTGCGTCCCCTGCAGCCTCCCCATCAGCCAGCTCCCCAGCACACCCAGGTGTCTGAGACCCTCTTCTGGCTCCAACCACATTCTAGGGACAGGGGAAGATGTGGCAAGGTATGGAAAGGATGGAGTTAGCGGAAGGAAGGCGGTTCTCAGAGGCAATTAGAGGTTGACTCAGGGGAAACAGAACTCTCATTAATGTGCTTGGTTAAGTCCAGGCAGAGAGACTGGGAAAACATCTGAAACCACTGGAGTCAGTTTGGGGAATGGGGGTGGAGCACCCACTCAACCACCACCATGCCCACTCCTGTTCATGCATACCCAGCAAGTGCCCACTGTACAGCCTCCCACCCCAGCACCACAGAAGGCAGGTCCCTCACCCCAGTCTGGGCCATGCCGAAAGGCCCCGGGTTCATGCCCAGGAAAAGTACTTCCTTGGGGCCCTGGCAGTAGCGAGTCACGTAGCTACGATGTGGCTCCCATGCGTATTCCACGGGATTGTAGATCAAGCCCACAGGCTCCGAGAACTGCAGCTGACACAGCTCAGCATTGAGCCGACGCTCCTCCTCCAGGAAGCCCTCCGCCAGGCTCTGAGGAGAGGGCTGGGGCGGCAGCAGGGCACCTGCAGGATCGTGGAGGGAGCCTGCTGGGCAAGTCTGGGGCACAGCCATGCTGTTGTCACCTGGAACAAAGAGGGACAGAAGCCCCATTAGCCTTCAGCCTCAGAGGAGGAGGGTCCAGTGCTGGCCACACCCCTGCCACTAGTCCCCAGGCTCAGGTGGGGCCCAAGAGAACGCATCACCTTCAGGAGGCCCTGTCCCCTCCCTACCCTCAGTAGGAATAAGTCTACCCTCCTTCATGTTGGGCACAGCTCAGAGGCACTGGTTTCTGGGCCATCACAGGAACACAGTAAGCTTTCAACGAACATTTGCTAGTAGCATTCTTTTGGCAAATGCCATCCTTGATGAAACCAACCTAGCCGGGATGTGTCCTGGGAACCACCACTCTGACGAATGAGACGCAGGTGTGCAGCCACAGCCCAGAGACCTGGAAGGGCTAATGACTGTCGCTTCCAGGTGGCGAGCAATTGCTCTACATCGTGTACAGCTCATTGATCCGCCTAACAACCCCAGGATGTGGGCATTACTGCTCCCTCAGTACAGGTGAGGGGGGCCGGGCTGAGCAAGAGTGAGCCACCTGCCTGGGGCCGCAGAGACAGCAAGCAGAGAGCTGATATTTCAACCCAGACACAAGGCTATGCTTTTAACCATGCACGCCATCTGACCTTAGATGAGGGGTGGGGACCCGTTTTTTTCTGCCAAGGGCCATTAGGCTATGTATGACATCATCCACAGGCCATTCACAATTCTCAACTTAAAAATGAGCTTGCTGGCGGAAAATGAGCCAAATGTGCAGGCCCAACACCCACGTGGGAGCCCAGAAGCAGCTCCTGACTCCTGACAACACTGGGGAGTGAACTAGCAGGTGGAACCTCTGTTTCTTCTCTCTAACCCCGCCTTTCAAACAAACAGATAAACTTTTAAAAATATATATTGGCTTGCCATAAACATGAAATTTCAAGTCCTGCCTGGGAATGACTTGACAAGACAAGACCAAATGATTCTGGGGGACACTACACAGTTCTCAGGCTAGCCATTCCCTTCCCCCACCTTGGCAGGCATGAATGAGCCAGTCTGCCTTCCTCATGCCACTCAAACAGTAGAGTAGGGTAACTGAAAGACACAGAATTTACTCTTACAAGCTGTGCAACAGGGCCAGGGATTAGAGTTTGGTGGGCAAATACTAAAAATAACATCTGGAGCTGACACGGTGGCTAAATGGGCTAATCCTCTGCCTATATGTATGATATCCCATACGAGCACTAGCTCGTGTCCCAGCTACTCCATTTCCCAGCCAGCTCCTCACTTACTGCTTGAGAAAGCAGTAGAAGATGACTCAAGTCCTTGGGACCCTGCACTCGCATGGGAGACCCAGAGGAAGCTCCTTGTTCCTGGCTTTGGATCAGCTCAGTTCCAGCCATTGTGGCCATTTGGGGAGTGAACCAGCAGAAGCAAGATCTTTCTGTCTCGTCTCTGTGAATCTGCCTTTCAAATAAAATAAATCTTAAAATATAGTAACATTCAGGCCAGGCGCGATAACCTAACAGCTAAAGTCCTCTCTTTGAACATGCTGGGATCTCATACGGGCACCAGTTCTAATCCCAAACGCCCCGCTTCCCATCCAGCTCCCTGCTTGTGGCCTGGGAAAGCAGACGACGGTCCAAGGCGTTGGCACCCAGCACCCACACGGGAGACCTGAAAGAGGCTCTGGGCTCCTGGCTTCTGATTGGCTCATCTCCACCCATTGCAGCAGCTTGGGGAGTAAATCATGGGACGGAAGGTCTTCCTCTCTGTCTCTCCTCCTATCTGTGTATCTGCCTTTCCAATAAAAATAAATAAATATATTTTTTAAAATCCACTTGGTAATGTTGATATAAAAATGAAACACAATGTTGGTGCAGGTACAGGCAGGGAGAGCAGCCAGGGGTCCTGACCACAGGCTCTGTTAATTTCACCAAGTGCTCCTTCTCTCAACTCCCATGCAAACCCAGGGCTCTGACGAGCCCATTTGGCCCATTCAACTCATACACCAAGAAGCCTTTTTTAACTCAGCACCTGAAACTCTACACTGACCATTTCTACAAACCCACTGAAACAGACAGGAGGGCACCACCCAACAAGCAACCACCCAGAACTGGCATGTCCCCACCCTTCCAGGCAGCCAACTCAGGCCTTCAGGATGCTGCTCGAACCACCCTTCTGGGGGCAGGCATTGTGGGGCAGTAGGTTAAGCTGCTGACTGGGACATCTGCATCCCATAACAGATGGCCAGTTGGAGTTCTGTCTCCTCTGCCTTACATCACTTCTGTTTCCTATGGCTGTGCATCCTAGAAGGCAGTGGGGCATGGCCCACATGTGTGGGCCCACCCGCCCACATGGGAGAACAGGATGGAGTTTTGCTTTGGCCCAGCCCAGCCCTGGCTGCTGGCTGTGGGCACTAGGGCAGTGAGCCAGGTGATGGGAGATCTTTCACCCTTGCTCTGTGGTTGTGCCTTTCAAGTGGATTAAACAGAGGGTTGGGGGGCCCAGCGGTGTGGCCTAGCGGCTAAAGTCCTCGCCTTGAACGCCTGGGATTCCATATGGGCGCCGGTTCTAATCCCAGCAGCTCCACTTTCCATCCAGCTTCCCTGCTTGTGGCCTGGGAAAGCAGTTGAGGATGGCCCAAAGCCTTGGGACCCTACACCCATGTGGGAGACTCGGAAGAATTTCCTGGCTCCTGGCTCTGGATCGGCATAGCATTGACTGTTGCGCTCACTTGGGGAGTGAATCACTGGATGAAGATCTTCTTCTGTCTCTCCTCCTCTCTGTATATCTGACTTTGTAATGAAAATAAAATAAATCTTAAAATGGTGCAATAGCTCAATTGGCTAATCCTCCTCCTCCAAGCGCAGCATCCCATATGGGTGCTGGCTTGTGTTCCAGTTGCTCCACTTCCCATCAAGCTCCATGCATGCGGCCTGGGAAAGCAGTGGAAGACGGCCCAAAGCTTTGTACCCTGCACCCGCATGGGAGTCCCGGAGAAAGCTCCCTAGCTCCTGGCTTCAGATCAGCTCAGCTTCTGCCATTATGGCCATTTGGGGAGTGAGCCAGCAGATAATAGGTTCTGTCTCTCCTCTCTGCAAATCTGCTTTTTCAATAAAAATTTAAAGATGCCAAAACATAAAAATTCCTGATGGTCTCCTCAGCATTTCTGTCAGGTTTGCCGACCACCAGAGAAAGAAAAATGGTTCGGCCGACTGTTGAAAAGAGGCCTTCGTTTGCAGGTAGTCTGTTCTCAGGTCTTTTCTCTGTGCAACAGAGACAGAGAGAAAACAGGGAACCCAGGGGACGAAAAGGCGCACAAAGAAGCATGCAGAAGGCTTTTATACCTCTGCCAATGAGGAAGCCAGAGCAGGTGCCACTCTGATCCCTAATAGGAGAGGACATGCCAGCCTGAGTGTGTCATTACTCCACCAGGGTTCCACTGCCCTAGTGACACGCGGGACCTTAACCACCTCTTCTGGGTCAGCTGGAGGTCCAAGTGACACAATTTTTTTTTAAGATTTATTTGTTTGTATTGCAAAGTCAGACATACAGAGAGGAGGAAAGACAGAGAGGAAGATCTTCCTTCCTATGATTCACTCCCCAAGTGAGCGCAACGGCCGGTACTCCGCTGATCCGAAGCCAGGATCCAGGAACTTCCTCCGGGTCTCCCACGCGGGTGCAGGGTCCCAAGGCTTTGGGCCGTCCTTGACTGCTTTCCCAGGCCACAAGCAGGGAGCTGGATTGGAAATGATGCTGCCGGGATCAGAACCAGCGCCCATATGGGATCCCGACGCGTTTAAGGCGAGGACTTCAGCCGCTAGGCCACACCGCCGGGACCAAGTGACACAAATTTTACCCACCTCCATAATCGCGGAAACATTTCTATATTGTGTCACTACTCAAAGTTCAGCTGCCCACTTTGCACACTCCTTCCTACTGAGGGCTTACCAAGCTCTGGGTGTGCCCACATCACCAGGATTCCCCTCTCAACCCCCAGCCCAGGTCAAGGGTGATCTCTTTCTCCAGGGAAGGCGGATGTGTCAACCTAGTCTCCGGTGCTAATCCACTGGAAGTGGGAGATTAACGTTATAGAGGAGATGTATGGGAAGTCCCTCCAGGTCTATCCAGGACCCACGGAGCTCACAGAGAGCTCAGATGCAGGATGCAGCAGGCAAGATGGCCCCACGCAGCACCCATGTCAGTGGACGGACTGCTCCAGCTGCAGGCTGGGTCCACATTTCCTCCATGCTAGACACAACAGGTTCCACGAGGGTGGTGACAAGGTCTTAAATGTTCAGTGTTCCAGACTTCCAAAGCCTCACCTGATAACAAGGAACACAGGCTGACACTGGCTTGAGTTCTAGCCCTGGTTTTGCCTCTAGAAGGTTCTCCTGAGTCAGTCTCCCCTCCATGGAGATCATAGCTTCCTTCAACCTCCCACTAGCTGTTCCAGGGCAGGCAAGGGGTCAGTTTCTTTGTGAGAAAGAAATCCAGGATGAGTCAAACGCAGCCCAGTGCTCAACCAGCTCATCAACTACCGTGAGAGATCAAACAGCCTGAACACTGGGTGTGACTAAAGCTGTAACATCCTGAATGAAAGGCAGGCGCGAGGGCTCAACTGGCTAATCCTGCACCTTCAAGCATCTACATCCCATTCGGATGCCAGTTCGTGTCCTGGCTGCTCCACTTCCCATCCAACCTAGGAAAGCAGTGCAGGATGGCCCAAGTTCTCGAACCCCTGTACCTACATGGGAGACCCAGAGGAGGCTCCTGGCTTCCAGCTCAGCTCTGGCCATTGCGTTCATTTGGGGAGGCAGCCAGCAGATTCAAGTTCTCTGTCTCTCCTTCTCTCTGCAAATCTGCCTTTCCAACAAAAAGAAATAAATATTTAAAAAAGAAAAGTCCTGAACAAAACGCTACAGGAACCGAAAAGAGCCTTGGAAACTCTTCCTAAAGTTGCCAAAGGCGGAAGGCTTAGGAAACGTGGCTACTTTGCAAAATACACGAGTCCCACCCCGTGCAACGCAGGGACGCGGGACGTGAGGGGGAACACAGGCAGTGTCCACTGCCCTGTCCGCGGAAGAGCGACAGTGAAGTCACCACAGTAACCACCGGGCTCATTCCCCTCCAGGTCCCGATCCCGCTCGGCGCCCGCGGGCTCCGCCCGACGGGAGCGCCACAGTCGCGCAGGCCTCCCGGGCGGCCTCGTGGGCTCCCTGCACGCGGAGCAGCCCCAGACGGAGCGAGGCCCGCTCAGCGCAGAGGTCCAGGTTGCCGCGAGGCTCATCCCGAAGCCCCGACGCCCCCAGGCCGGCCCCAGCAACCCAACTTCCCCGGCACCTGCTACTTCCTCACCGGCTCCAGTGCTCCCTCCGGCTTCCGGCTCCTTTCCCCGCCCCCACTTCCGGCGCAAAGGGCTGTGGGAATGGTAGTCGGTCTTCCTTACGAAAAGAGATTGGCGTAGCCGCGACCACTTCTGCCGGAAAGACTCAAAGTTCCGGATAGCGGGCTAAACCAGCCCTAAGGCATGCTGGGATTTGTAGTTTTACCTCTCCAGCTCGGCAAGCTCAAGAAATCTTAAAGCGGTCACACTCTGCCAGTACCCTGGGTAGAGTCTGGCTTCTCGCACTAAAGTGCATTACCTGGTCTTCAAGTTCAATCAATAAGCTCATCCGAAAGGATTTTCTCATCAGAAGGCTTCAGCCATCCGCAGTTCATCACTCTTCTTAGGGTATTAACAATGGCTGAAGATCACTTCTAGCCCTTCCGTGCCAGGTGTGAAATCCACCCCTCTTTGCAGCCCTCCAAGAGCCATTAATACTTGCAGAA